AAAACGATTCTTCGCGGCAGGGGATCGTATTCCAGGGACCTGCCCGAAACGCTACACGTACTAGTGGCTGTACAAGAATGTAACAACTCTTGTATATATCTCAAAAAAAAAAAAAAAAAAAAAAATTGAGGTTGCCAACATAATCAGCTGATGCTCCCACCCTTATTTACCAACATTCCTACTCCCCCTATACTGTCTGTGCTGTTATTACACTATATACACACATTATATATAAGTATTTACATGTTTTATTCACTATAACTGTACACCTAAGCTGGTATGGTGTCCCAACAACATACTGGCCAAAACAAAATTGCATAAAAAGTCGCACACCGGCCAGCAGACGACGCTACTTCCATCACCAAAATGACTGCTCCCAACATACTCCTTTAACTGTTATAACACTAGTATACATGTTATAAGTATCTACATTTGTGTTCACCATAACAAACCATTAACACTTTAACTGCACCGCCTCCAAATATGCAACCCCCCCCCTCCCCCAGTGCGCAGGAAATAAATTCTCTTGAAAAAAATTCTTTTGTTTTTTAAAGTGTCAAAAACCCTTCCCTCAGTATGGGTATGTCAAAAAATTTTGAAATTGTACTTTCTTTGGCTGTTATGTGGTCCATAAGTTGGCACGTGACATCATCCCCGTTCGCCCGTGACGTACGCTCCCGATGCAAGTAGGGCACCCGGGGCGTGGTGGGCGAGTTGCCGTGAATATATTTTTGTTCATTTTTTGCGCACAGTTCCAAATAAATTTTATTTGTTTTTATATGCTAATCCTATGTATAATGAACATGTACACTATATTATGGCAGTAAAGCATCCGTACTGTCCAAGGACACTGTGTTACGTGCATGACACTTGTGTACAAATATGTTGCACATATTTACCATGTATCATGCTAATTTATGTATATATACATTCTATTTACAGACTATACACTGTCACACACTATATACATTCACCATCAACACATTCAGAACACCACGAGTGTGAGCTGTCACACCCAGCCTGCCCTCCCTCACTCCTCCAACATTGTATTTGCCAACATTGCTCCTGCCATCACACCAATGTTTTATGTTCATTTATGTATATTTATAACTTAAGTACACACTATACACTGTCACACACTATACACATTCAGAACATCGCGAGTGTGAGCAGCCACACCAAGACAGGCCCTCCCTCACTCCAACATCTTACCCGCCAACATTGCTCCTCCCACCATACTGTTATTGTTTTTATTACACTATTTACACATGTTATATATACCTATCTACATGTTTTATTTACCAGAACTATGCAAGTAAGCCGGTATTGTGTCCGAACAGTACAGTGGCCACCATACACTGCATGACAAATCACACAGCAGACGACGCTACGATTATGACTTCACCTCCCTCTCCAAAATAGCTCCACTCAACATACTCCTGTTGCTGTTATACACACACTATATACACATTACTATATACACACACTATATACACACTATACACACACACACTGTATATACCCATGTACATGTGTGTTCCCCATAGCGAACCACGAAGCTAGTATGGTGAGCAAAAAAAAAAAAAAAAAAGAGTGGCTGCCACACAGTGAGGCTACTTCAATTCTCTCCCTTCCTCCTTCCTTCACCAAAATTCCTCCTTCCACAATACTACGCACAACGCTAATTATAACCACAATCCTGGTCACTAATTCCTATAAATGAATAATTGACCACAAGTTTATTTTGTAAAGGAACTTAAGAAGTCGTTTGAAGATTCCTAGATGGACGAAATAATGTTGTGGTGCTGTGGCTAGCGCTGAGAACATCGTGAACAGCATTGAATCACTGATATTTGAACATTGTACCCAGTCATTATCACACTCAGGCTCTTCTATAATACTATCATGGCTAAATAATACAGGTTATATATATATTTTGACATTATTTGGCGATGCTGTGGTCACACGCTAAACAACAGTGCTGTGCGCTCATGCTGCGAGCGCCAACCTTGGTTGCTCACTCACTACTGAGGCTCTCACACCCGGGAATGTGGATCATGATTTTTTTTAAAGATGGCGTCTGTTTACAAGAGCCCTGAGGAAGCTGATGTGAACCCCATGTAACTGCGGGAGTTTTGAATGGAACGTGAAAAATACAAATACCTGGAGGTGCATAGCGCACCCCAGACGTGCGCCTGCAGGCGTGTTGCGCAGTTAAAGGGTTAAGCTGGTATGGCAAGTGCTGACAATAACAGGTGGCCACAGACACAGAGTCAGCAGACAACATTACCTCTCTCAGCATTATTCCTCCTACCATACTACACACAGTGTTTAATTATCACCACAATCTTGCTATTATCAGAATCCTGGTAATTTTTATCAGTCAGGGGTCTTCTGTAATACTATCATCACTAAATAATACCAGTTACAAATATATTTTGACATTTTTTAGGCGATGCTGTGGTCACAAGTTGAACAGCAGTGCTGTTAGCTCATGCTGCTTGCGCCAACCCTGTTCAATAGTTACTCAATAGTTAGGCTCACACCCGGGAATGTGGACCACGATTTGTTTTTAAAATGGCGTCTGTTTACAAGAGCCCTGAGGAAGCTGATGTGAACCCTGTGTAGCCGCGGGACTTTTAAATCTTATGAGGTACTCCCAACCATTCATAGCTGTGATGCATACTTCCGTGACAGTTACTCACCCCAGCTATATCTGTATTGCGCAGTTTAAGGGTTAATCTTTATTTTCCCTGGAATATGACCCGCCAAATTGTTTAACAACCAGGTACCCATTCACTGCTGGGTGAACAGAGGCTACAGTTAAGGATTGTCCCCAGTCAATCCTCCCGGGCCAGGATACGAACCCAGTCCAAATCACTCGCCGTTTAATAAATGTAAACAAAGCTGACGAAGACTTAGAAAAGATTTACTGGTTCATAAGTATATGTGTAAATGCTCGTTGACTTCTGGCTCATATCTTTTACATGCGAGTCACAGTGAGCAGGTATGTGTCTTGTACCATGGATTTTGTTTAATTTCACATCACATCACATTGACTTGATTTTCTTCGACTTACTCTTTGCACTCTGACAGAAAATTGAAAACCCAGCATCCTACTTCACTCATTATTCCTATTGATTACAGCTTATGGGCTATCACTCCACGGTTACATTTATTAAATGCCTTTGCTAAGTCCATGTATACAACACCTGCATTTTGCCTTTCTTCTACTGCTTCCATGATTTTGTCTACTTGTTGCTGTAGAAGAAAAATGAAATGCAGATGTTGTATATATGGACTTTGCAAAGGCATTTGATGTGACAATGGAGTGATAGCCCATACATATAATAATTATCTGTTTATTACATTTTATTACTTAATTTAACACTTTCGCGCATCCCAGCAGACCGTCGTTGTCACCAATATTATTAATCACACCGCGTGCGTGCCCCTCTCGGGAGTCACGAGAAAAAAATATTTGTATAAAATCCATTTATTATCCGATCAACTTGGGAATAGTTTACAAATGTTTGCCATGAAATTTACGTTTTCTCTAATAGCCGAACAGCTTATTAAAGAGAATGGCGTGGCAGTGAATCATCGTGGTAAAACAATTGTATTATTGACACGACGAGTATAATCTACGTAGTTTTTATATATGTTGCTGGTCGAACGCATCCTTATGTGACCTTTAATACTTATGTTCTTATAGAACATTCTATTGCGAGCACATTGGTACAAAAATGAAATACATCGACAAATAATGTCAGGACAGTGAATTGAATATACACTTTTCAAAGCGAGTTTCACCGATATGCCGCCGCTGGTAACACTTCGGCCACTTCCCACACTGTTTTGGGTGGGCTACGACATTGAATCTATATTTATATGCATATGTCCGTGTAGAGAATTTTATTGCGATTCCAATGATACCACAATTAGCGATGTAGGACAACTGTAGGCTTCGCAACCATTAAGAGAGTGGAAACATTTTGTTGCTGTTTGGCGCTCTCGGCGAGTGATCTGAATAGTTTTTTATTTGGTGTTGATAGTCCTTATGCTTTGGTGTTATTTTATAGGTATGTTCTTATAGACAATTTTATTGTGAACACAGTGATACCAAATTTAAATACGTGCGCCTTCAATTATTGTCAGGACAGTCAAAAGAGTGTACTCTTTTTTCGGTCTTACCGCCGAAAGCGCATAGGGTATGATTTTTTTTTTGAACGCCGAGAGCGCGAAAGTGTTAATATTTTATTCATTTGGTTCATTTTGAGTGGTTCTATTGTTCCATGTGATTTGTTTGTACAGTTGTTTTCTGTGAATTCTCCAGTTGTCTGCAACACTTTGTTAACTTTCCCAATGCTTTCCTGGTGGAGTGGCAGATTTTGACTTGCTGTCTCTGCGTGTGTTAGGGGGTGTGGGGGGGGGTTACGAGGTTCTGGCTTGGGTCCCTCAGCAGGCTGATGAAGAACTCTTGCAACTGATGTGAATAATTAATATGGAGTAATGACAGATAGCTGCAGGTAGTCACCAAGTGGCTTCCTGTGAAAACAAATTGGTAAACAAACATCCAGCCAGCCCATTTTTGTGGTAGAAGATGGCAGGAGGCAGCAGAGGGGCACGTCTAGTGTGTAATACAGTATGTCAAAATAGCACACACATGAACTGTTTGTTGAATAGGAAGTAAAAGCTCCAGTTGCTGAAATTCCAAAAGTGGGATCTATTTCAGCTGTAGAATACAATATATTACAAGTACTGTACTGCAATTTACTATGAAACCAAATGTAGTACAGTATAAATATTTGTATTATGGTTATTATATTACCCAGTAAATGCGGAAGTTTGTAAGCTACCCACATCCCAAACATAATAGTGATAAATGGTAACAGCTGTATAAAGCCATATCAAAATTTGACTAGGGAGGAACACTACCCCCCTAATATAAATATAATTAATGTGTGTTGTATCTTACAGGAAAATAATGCACATGAAAGTTTACTTAAGTAGACTTTATGACTCAAATGAAACATACCTTGTAATATTTAAGATTTTCACTTTTAATTACCATACACACTTCTAACAAATATGTAATGATAACCCATCCTGTCAATATATTGCACTCTATCATTTTAAAAGGTACTTAAAATAATGAAATCAACAGCCAATAAATTAGAAAAGATTATAATTCTACTTCAGAGTGTCCCATTTAGTGTTACTTGTTTTGACAATTGCTACTTAGCTTTTCCTTGATGCTCTTAACAAATTTAACTTTTTTTTTTGTCCTAATAATTATGTAAAATAAATAGTTACTGCATTCAATTCCAACAGTGAACACACCCTAATTTCTTTTTTAATTTCCCCCTCTTTCCCGAGGAAAGAGCATACATAGAATACAGAGGAAAATAACACCCAAAACCTATAATTTCAGTCTCTTGATTTCTTCAGCCTTGAAGTCGACTCTGAAATAGAGAAAAAATAGTTACATGTAAGGAAGCTTCTGTATTTAGTACTATATGTCATATGATATAGCTTACATCAAAATTTTAGTAAATTTGTTATAAAAGTCTTTAAATGCCTAGCTAAGCACGTAAGTAATTATCGAAAGAAGGCACCAAGCCGTGGGAGACTATGAAGCACCAAGTCACAGGAGATTCAAAAGGTGCTAAATATCACTAAGGATGTCAATATGTGAACAAAAGCGCATAAGGAGAACGATGTCAAAGGTATCGGATTCACCAAGGGACAAATGACTGCAAGGGACAGTCGGGAAGCAGACACATGTCCTGGAAGTCAGGACATTCAATAAGGATATGCACGACCGTAAAAGGGACAATGCAGTTCGGACAATTAGGAGCAGGGCGGTGCTCCATTAACACTTTGAGCTGCCCAGCGTATGCGCCCCAACTCACCCTAAGGTGGCTTGCTGTTTTCCGTGAGCACCGACACTAAAATGTGTATACCGTACTTTATTTTTCAGTTTTCTCATCAATTTTCATGTTACATCGCTCATTTTGGTTACATCGTTACATTGGATATATGCATATGTTCTACCATTTCCATATATGCAAATGGAAGAACAACATTACCAATACCTTAAGATAAAGAATATCATCATGTAAAAAACTGACTTTTTATCATTATTTTACATTTGTTATTCATTCCCGACATTATTTGTGACACAAATAATTTATTTTTGGGTTACTTCCTTCACATAAGTGTACGTACTACAATATTATATGTATAAATAAATGAAAAAATATCTGTACTTACCACCCAATGATGTTTGTAAAGCATGAGTTGAGCAGTTGAGCATTAGGATGAGCCACTCCACCTGCTCCAGGAAAATTTTTCCTGAAGTTTCTCAACCCATGTTTTATATGTGGAGTGGATGGGAAGGTAAGCATTATTGCTTATCCACCCAGTATGTCCTCTTGCGATGGTACAAGCCGGAGCATGGTGCAGCACACAGTGCCACATCACACTACTAGTACATATACCTGGTGTCCTTCCTTTTACCAGACATGTGATGTAACATGGACCAAGTTTCAGATAACTAAAGTTCGGAAACCAAGTGGTGCTCTGTAGTTCAATGTGTGAAACATCGCTATGCTCAAAATTATGGGGCTCATATGTGTGACATATATATATTATATTCTACGATCAAAGTGTTTTTACTGTTATTACACTATATAAATACACACATTATATATACCTATCTACATGTGTTTTCAACATAACAAACCACTAAGTTGGTATGGTGAGCCCTAAAACACAACGAATGGGCTGCCACGTACAGCCAGCCCTCCCTCACTCCTTCAATGCCTAACTCGCCAACATTGCTCCTCCCACAATACTGTTTGTGGTTTTATCACACTATATACACATGTTATATATAAGTATCTACATGTTTTGTTCAGCATAACTGTTCAACTATGCTGGTATGGTGTCCAAACAACATAGTGGGAACAAAAAACTGCATGACAAGTCACACAGCGGCCAGCAGATGACACTAGGAGACAATGCCAACTCTCCCTCCCCCTCACCAAGATTACTTCTTCCACCATTCTACTCTATAATTCTCACCACAATCCTGCTATTATCAGAATCCTGGTCACTAAATCTTGTAAATGAATAATTTTCCACAAGTTTATTTTGTAAAGGAACATGAGAAGTCGTTTGAAGATTCCTAGATGGACGAAATAATGGCAGTGTGATGTGTCTAGCACTGTGAACATCTTGAACAGCATTGTGTTCACTGATATCTGAACATTGTACACGGTTTTATCACAGTCAGGCTCTTCTGTAATACTATCATGGCTAAATAATACCAGTTACATATATATTTTGACATTTTTAGGTGATGCTATAGTCACAAGCTGTACAGCAGTGCTGTTAGCTCGTGCTGTTAGCTCATGCTGCATGCATCTGCCTAGGTTGCTCACTCAGTACTGAGGCTCTCACACCCGGGAATGTTGCCCACAATTTTTTTTTAAATGGTGTCTGTTTACAAGAGCCTCTGAGGAAATTGATGTGAACCCCGTGGAGCCGCAGAGTTTTGAATACTACACTATACCTACAAGCACCCCGAGGTGCCTTGCGTACCATCGATATAGCACCTCAAGACACGTTGCGCAGTGCAGTGGTTAACCCTTGGGCTGCTAGGGGTCAAAATGGCTTCAACACCCACAGGTGCAACAAAAAAAAAATTCAAAGAAATTTCTTTTTCTTTTTAATCTCTTTGTGTTCCCTGAGCACGGGAAAAATACTAAAAAAAATTTAATTGTACTTACCAATGACGTAAATGAGCCGAGAAGTTGGCCGATGATGTCACGATTCATCGTCACTGGATCATGGTGCGCCCGGGCCGAGTCAGATGCAGCGGAGAAGGACCCCAAGTTGCCGCAAATTTATTTTCGCGGTATTATTTACAGTATCTATGGCGTATTTTACACCCATTTTTTTCATTGGTGTGGTTTAATATGTTCTCATTTGATGATTTATTATCATACAACTGTTGTCAATGTATATTATATCCACATATTAGTGTCACAAGTATTTGCATAAAAATGTCTTATTTTTCAATAAAATATACAACTTCTTATGATTTATTTTCATTATTTGCACCCACTTATTCTGTATTTACATGTTTTTGCACCAGTCTTGAACATTTAGAAGTCATCAAGATTGTGATATTCATCAAAACATTTGACATAGCACAGAGGGACTTGACACGCTGTGCAACAAGTCATCGCCATTTTTCGTTTCTGTTCCCTCTTGGTTGTGGTCTTGCATACAATGCACTCACACTGGCATACTGTACGCTTTCCAGTTGGTGGTAAATACCTTACATTGTGTCACAAAGGCATCCTTAAAAGCAAGCCTGGGTGTGGGAGCATGGTGCAATAATGGGTTCACAATGGGCCTCTGTATGTCAGGAATTGCTTTGCCAAACTTCTCTAGTAATTGTGTTACTACAGTAAAACTGAATGCACAGAGATTTTGTTTACCACCTGTTTTGACAAGATATATATTATAACTGTTCAGCATTGTTACATCAACGAGGCGGAAAAACATTTTCTTGGTCCACTTTACTGTTTTCCGTACGCACTCGGCTGCCCCCACCATCATATCACATTTATCCACCAAATGCATGTTGATGTTATAGTCCAACACACAATCTGGCTGATAGATTATTTGTTTTATGGTTCTGTTCACCTTTCCACTGTTCAACATTGTACCAGCGTGAATGGCAGTCAACATGTTCACTTCATGCCTGTCTTTCCACCGCACTGAAAGCATTGCACCGGTTTTTTTATAGCTCGCAATCACCAACCTGCATAGCAGTGTGAAAAACTGGTATTTCCCTTCGTTTTGCCTTCACTGTGCCACACAATCCAGTTCTATTATCAAGCAAGAACCTAGTTAGCAAGGGACTGGTATAATAGTTATCTTTGTACAATATGTGACCTTTGTTCAGATATGGTGCAAGTTGTGCCTTCACAACACTACCTGAGAAGCCATGTTAGTCATTAGCAGGAATGTCTACATTTGTACCCCGTATACATTATCAGGTGTAACACCATTCCTGTTTCACAGTCACAGAGTACATAGAATTTCCATCCAAATCGGTGGCGTTTGGAGGGAATATACTGCTTGAAGGCAAGACGTCCTTTGAAAAGCACTAGGGATTCGTCAATCACCAGCTTCTGAGCTGGTACATAGAAATCCCTGTACTTTCCAATAAGTTCATTCAGAACGTGCCTTACCTTCCAAAGTCTATCATCATCATTCTGGTCTTCATCATTTGCAAAGTGAAGACACCGGAGGAGTATCGAAAATCGGTCTTGAGATATATATTTGCCGAACATTGGTGTTGGAACAGTAAGGTCTTTGCTCCAATAATGGTCGAATAAGTGTTTGACACAATGTTTCATCAACATACACAGTGGCAAAAACACATATATTTCACCCACAGTCGTATCTTTCCATCGTTGTAAACGTGAAAAATCAGGTAACTCCTGCTCATCAATGAGATCAGCCGCATATTTGCTCGTTTCCTGAACAATATATTCCATGAGTGGCTCATCGAAATATGCAGTAAAATAGTCCATTTCACACATATCGGGACCTTTATCAGGGAAAAGGTCTGTAATCCCAACATCTGAATGATCAAAAACAGGAATTTGTGGAACAAAATCTGTCCCATCACTCTACACAAATACACCTGGGGTCTTTTGAGAGGCAATAGTGGTACCACGGCGAGTAAACCGTGGACCAGGAGCTGAAGCAGGTCTAGGAACAGTAGGGGCGAGCAGGGACGGTGACGGAAAATTACTTGATGTTGAGGGTCTTTGTTCATCAGCGTCCCCATGTGGTCCCATGCAGTGTGCATAGGTTGGCCAGATGCTGCTGACATGAGAAATTGTTGCTTGGCAACACCACACACTCCACTGGCACTAACGGCACCGAAACTATTTTCCGATTCTAAGTCACTAAAACCGGAAAATGATTCACCTTCCTCAGACTCGTCGACAAAAACATCAATATCTTGCAATGTAGCACATGAACTGTGTGGTCTGGCACGAAGTGGGGTCGAGTGAGGGCGAGGAGGCATGGGCGAGATGCTAGGCCTAGTCCTGGTGGAACCAGCATGTTCACACTCATTGTTGGCCGTATTCACTTCTGAGGGCTGTGTGTAGTCGTGATCAATGTCGGAGTCGTCAATATCAGATTCATCACCATCTGGGAACAAATTCTTAATAATTTCATCATCGGTCACAGAGGTCACGATGAACGTCTCGTTGAGCGGGGTCGGTCATTGGAACTTGATGCGCTCGCCATGGTGTCCGCCGGGTAACTGAGGCCTCTACACAATTGTGGCCTACGCAGGATTTTTTTCCCAGGTGGCGTTTGTTTATGGTCGGGTGCGGCTCGCTGATGACTACCCCTATTCAACGCG